CAACACATCACATTGAACAGTAACGGATATCAGCAGCATTGAGAAAAGTATAAAAAGACCAAAACCCACCTACTGTAGAAAGGGCTTTTTCATGTATAGTACCTGTACAAAGCAGTCTATGTATTGAAGAAACAAGAATGGCATACAGAACAGACTGCAATGAAAGCCAAAATGTGTAACAAGCTAAGCATCTGGTGGTCTGTAGCAAATGATGACCTTAGATCTTATGTCATTTGCTGCCTGGGTGGGAAAATTCTGCAAAAAACATGCAAATATTAAAATATTCCTATGCCAGAAAAGTACACTGTGACTCTAGAGTAGGCTGGATAGGCAAAGAGAAGCTTTCACTAACAAACTGTGTTGTTTTCAATATAAACTTTACATTGGAAATATAAACTGTAGAATAAATATTAAATAAACACAGAAAATGGGTTAAAACAATAGCCAAAATATTTCGATGCACTCATAGTGTTCATGAAGATGCCAACAACAAAAATCATGTCGGAAACTGAACTCAAGGGTTATTTTGAGTTAACAATACTAGTGAAAAGGACACTTGGAAACATAAAGCAATACTTCATGATGTTTCATAATCTTTCATCTGTAAAGGAAATGTGATAAAATTAGTCTCCATCTTTAAATAATGGAGCTCCTCTGTTTCCATCTTTCACAATGAGAAAACATTTGGAAGCTCAACAATTTGAGGCAAGTGGAATATTTGACTTTGTAACAAAAATGGGAATTAAATCAAGCCAGAAGCAAGTGAAATGCTCCCTACAAACCTCCTGATTGTCATGCAGGAGAAGCCTGAGAAAGGGGCTGTTTAATTCTGTTGCAGTTTGCAATGGCCACTGGCTCTGGATACAGTGCCCTGAATGCCTCATTGCTTTACTACTTCAATAAACTGGGATATCTTCTTAAAGCATCTTCCACAATCGGCGGGGAAAAAAATCAATAGAAAGAACTCTGCTTTGTCATTCCACTGTTAATGGCATGTATTTTCACTGCTGTCTTAATCTAACAACAGCAGTAATAAGATAACAAAAAGTTAAAAATCAGGAGTTACTATACTCGGTGGGAAACGGTGATTGGCAAAATTATATTATTCTGCTAAGCAAGTTGATTTGCCAGGTGGCAGCTGGTGGAAACTGTAGTAACTCCATTGACTTCAGTGGAGGTTTACATCAGCCGGGGATCTGCCCCCGGATCCAGACATATTCTCAGCTGCTTTTCTCAAAGCATGCGGCTCCGCCTCACACAATTCTTACCAAAGTATGGGGCATTATTCTTTTATACAACTTGTATAGTTTTTTACGTGCTACGTTGTATTTCTACTCTACTACACTAGATAATGACGTTGCTCTTCTCAAATTACGACCTCCATTCAGGAAAGCAGGTAAGCATGTGTTTAAAGTTAAGCTTTCCTGAACCAGGGCCTGTGAGCTGAACTGGGGCAAAGAGCTGCGCACAAGCCCTCCAGACCAAGTTGAGTGTCACCCAGGGAACTACAGCAGAAGTTGTTCAAGGCCGGATTCTGCCTTCAGATGTACACGCAACACCCCATTGACTCTGATGGGACTTGTGCAGGTACATCTGAACGCAGGTCTTGGACTGTAATGCATTCGCTTTTATGTTGATTACTTCCTATTTGCTGAAAATAAATGCAGCCAGTCTCACCTGGAAGAGTCAGGTGAGAAGAGGCTACGGGATGAGGCCCGAGCGCTAGAGAGAACGAGGACGAAGACCTGCTGGCATTGGAGTGGCCAGAGTGCCTGTTCAATTAAGCTGTGAGACTGATTGCATTTATTTAAGGCAATATTTAAACAATGTAGGGAATGAAAGAGGATCCTACAGGATCTGTATGTATGTGGATGCAGTAACCTGACGCCCTGTGCAAATGGAGCAGAGAGGCTGCAGCCACTGCTCGGATCTTCCCTACCCACCTGTGCTTCTCCTGAACAGTACCTGATTACACAGGCTGTAAGGGGAGCAGAAGATTTGACTCTCCAGGCTTTATGTGATGCATAGAACTGTGTAGGAGCCATCTGCCCTGGGATGAGTTTAGCACTAGCAGAATGCTGGGATGGTGTCAGCTTTCGTGATATAGTTCTTAATGATTGTGGATACCCCCTTGATTTCATGGCACAGTGGGGTGCCCCTTCTGCTTTGATGGTGAGGCCTGGTGTCAGTGAAATGGCAAGGCCATAAGCTTGGGAAAGGCCGTGGGCAAAACCAGAGATTTCATCTGATTAAAATCAATCCCAGAATGAAGCCAGCCCTGATGTGCGAGATGCAAGATATTGATGGTGCTCAAGGGTCACTACAAGTAACAATGATGTCGAACTACAAGATGTGTTTGTTCCTTTTGCAAATCGCCATCATTTTTCTCCAAGGCCAGGAGAGAAGAATTCTTTTCAAGGTCTGTAATTTATAAAAAGTGATTTTCAAGAGATGGAAGCAAAATAAAAGGAGTCAAAGCCCAGCTTCCCGAGGCTGTTCCAAATCACTAGTTTGGTCTGGAACACACTGGGGATGCTGCTGATTTCACAACAGTTTTATACCATCTCACCCCAGTAAAATCAATGGCCTTGCTGCTGATTCACACCAGTGTAAATGAGGTCAGGACCAGGTCCATTTTGTTGCTGTTCTTGTCGCTCATTTTACAGCAGAGCAGAATGGGCTTCCCATCTTTGTCTCTCTTAGGCTCATCTGGTAGCGATTTATAAACATTACAAGTCAAATAAAGAAGTCAACTCACCAGTATCACAGACAGGACATAATCATCTGGATCATGCAAAATAGTGGCTGCATTTATTATTTCTTGCCACATACACAACCCCCTAAAACAATCCTCCCCACCCCCAATTTTAGCATAATGAGAACTTCATTGCAGGATTCTCCTGCGGCCTGAGAGCGCATCTGGAGGCCATGTCATGCTGTCTGCTTAGGGCTAAACAGTACTCTCCTCCTGCATGGGCACCAAAGGTATGTCTACACTGCCTTGTAAATCTGAATCTGTGGGAACCAGGCTTGTGTATTTCCAAACCCATGCTTGAGCATTCACACTGCATTGTAAAACTGGGCTTACAGTTGCTGGACCCAGGTCTCATAGCTGTGCTAATGCACCCATACTGCATGTCTGTGGCTTGAGCTGCATCCACACTGCAAAATGACAGGGGTTGGACTGAGGCACAATCCCTAGCAGGGTCCTAGGACCTGGTCCTGAGTGTTTGCTGGCCTGAGTCAGATTCATTGATGTATGGACAGAGGGGGCACTTGGGCTCAAACCTGAGTCACGCCCTGTGCATAGAGTGCAGTGTAGACACACCCCAAGAGTTGTGAGTTCAATCCTTGAGGGGGCCACTTAGGGATCTGGGGCAAAATCAGTACTTGGTCCTGCTAGTGAAGGCAGGGGGCTGGACTCGATGATCTTTCAAGGTCCCTTCCAGTTCTAGGAGATAGGATATCTCCATTAATTAATTTATTTATTTTTATGTATAGTGCCTCCGAAGGCACAGTGCTTTCTGGGGGCTGCTCCGGGGCCACGGAGGCTACGTGCTGCTCCATACTCAGGGCTGGTAAAAGCTCGATCTTGCCCTAAAAAGTGAATCAGAATGGATTGTAGGATTTCCACCAATTGCCTTAGCTGCCAACCGTTTTTCCGCAAAAAAACAAAGAGCAAACCAAACCCCAGTGGATATCCTGGCTGCCTCCTTTTCTATTAACACCAATCATCCAGTCCGGCTCTTTAACAACTTTCAGGTCATGACTCCAGACAAACAGAGAATAAAAGAGCTGAAAACAACTAAGCCCCTATCACAAGGTGTGTTTGAAACAGTGAAATATAAGCTCATTTGATGTTCACAATTCCCGTTGTCAAGGGGCTTTTCCCCATTTTGTTGCATTATTGTACCAGTGAATTCCATGGATGTGTGTGAATGAAGCCTTTCCTTTTACGTTCCAATCACCGGCACACATTGGCACGGCCTAGATAAGCAGAAACAAATTATTTCTCCCGTTCAGACAAGTTCTGTTCGTAATGAGCAAATTTTCTTTCTTCAAAAGAAATTGCAGGCAAAGGTTTTGAAACACGACTTTAAAAATAAAACCAACGTTTGCAGTTTATAATGTCAACTACAGGAGCTAGTGTGTATTTCAGCTGTGTGTGTGTGTGTGTTTGTGCACCCACGAATTCTAGCCAAAGATTCAAGTTACATTGCTAAAATGTTTTAAGTCTTAGCTACTAGCAGATAGGTACAGTGATGGTGCCCGGAAAACAATACAAGGCATAGAGAGTCCATTTGTTGGACTTGCATAATAAGATCATACATATAGTGGATTCTCTAGTATGAAACCTTTGGGTTGGAGCCTGCAAATCCCTAAACTTATGTGGGCTGAAGAATTTGCAGGATCAGGCCTTTATTTGGAAACATTTAAAGCAATGCTTTCCCCCTCAGTCACTAAAGACCCACAGGATAACAGACAATACAAACACCAAGGGTATATCTGGAAGGTACACCCTGAGAAGGATTCAGAGTAGCAGCCATGTTAGTCTGTATCTGCAAAAAGAACAGGAGTACTTGTGGCACC